CAGTTCTGTAAATCACAAGAAAGAAGATTATTTCCTTGCTATTCTTGTGGTGATATAGAGGGCAGTCCCAGGCCCCTCTTGCTGAGCACCAAGCTCTCAATGAAAAGAACATACTTTACCTTTGTCTTTGACAAAGGAAGTTAAATAGGGAGTCAGGCGAGACCTGGTGGCTTCCCAGATATTATCCTCCTAGGCACAAAGACTCTCAAAGGGGCCACTTGGTGGCAATGCATACCCTCACAATGGCCAGAGGGTTCTCTAAGGTGGCAGTGCTTTCACACATTTTAAAACTATGGAACAGGTTTCTGGTCACAATATTCTCTTGCCTTAAAAGCCCAAGAGTCGATTATCTTATACGGTTTATTTGATCTCTTCCCTTGTTTGCTCATCTTTTACAGGGGCGTGGGGACCAAAGCATTTCTGAAATCAGCGCCCCCTTGCCCACAACGACGGTGAACCAGGAGTCACCGAGGTTCCACTCCGGGATACCTGTCTCTTCGGGTTTCGGTTCATCCACAAATAAGCAGAGGAGTCCAACCTGCTCCTCCAGCTGCCTTTCCTCTGCTAGCAGCTTTCGATTCAAGGCTAGGGTTTGGGGCCAATGCCGAGGGTGGGCGAGGGGGCGGGGCGAGCGCCGTGACGGCAAGGAGGCTCCCGGCCAATGGGAACGCCCCGCGGTGCGGCCGAGCCGCACGGCTATAAAAAGGAGGTGCAGCTGGCTTCTCAGCTCGCGGTAGTCCTTGACTCAGAGTACCTGGAGGGCTGGCTCTCTACCTCAGGTGACTCTGGTCACAGGTCACTCATTGCCCGCGGCCGCCGGCATAGTTCAGCTGCAGCTGTTGAAGCTCCCCTGGGTCTCTCCCGAGGTGTAGCCCCGGTCCATGGAGAAGGGCCCGGTACCGGAGGAGAAGCCGCGGGGCGTCAGGTGCATCAATGGGTTCCCGGAGCGGGAGCCGTCGCGGCCTGGGGCAAGCCGGCCGGCGGAGAAATCCCCGCGGCCCGAGATCAAGAGCGCCCAGCCGACGGACGGCTGGAAGGGGGAGCGGCCCCGCAGCGAGGAGGACAACGAGCTGAACCTCCCCAACCTGGCGGCCGCCTACTCGTCCATCCTGCGCTCGCTGGGCGAGGACCCCCAGCGGCAGGGGCTGCTCAAGACGCCCTGGAGGGCGGCCACCGCCATGCAGTTCTTCACCAAGGGCTACCAAGAGACCATCTCAGGTCGGGGCGCCCGCCGGGGCGTGCGGGGCGCGGGGGAGGTGGCTACAGGAAGCGAGAGCCACTCCGGGAAGTTTCCCGAGTTGCCTCACACTTGGCGGAGGACTGAGTGCTGTCACTTTGCGAGCCCTGCCCTCTGTCCTGGCCCGCTGCCTGGCCGAGGCCAGGGTCCTATGTAAGGGCGCCCAGGGTGGCAGCAGCCTGTCCACCCGAGACCGGCTGCAGTGTCCTCGCGGAGTCCTTCCCGCTCCCGGCACCTGGCCTGTCCTCGGGGCGTGGGTGAGGGGCTCGCGTGGCGGAGCCGCTGTCGTGGCTCCCCCCTCGGGTGGGGATCTGGGGGAATTCCTTTCTTTCACCCGAGCCCTCAGAGCCAATGCTTAAAGCACGCACCTGGACACTTGTTGAAGTAACAGCTGGGTCGTTTCCTTTTCTTGAGATCCCGTTTTCTTGTAGCTCTAAGGGTGATCTTGGCCGCTATGTCGGGACTTAACACTGCCTGATTTGCTTTGGGAGATCCACTTCTTTTACTCCAGCTCAGAACTTTCCCCAAGTTTGGCACAATTCTGGGTACGGGCTTGCCTGGAGTTTGAGGTGCTGGGGTCTCTTGGACTAGTTTGCTGATGAATGCCTTCTTCCCCTTCCTTTATCAAAAGAAATAAAGTAACTCCCTTCTGCTGCCCCTGGTGTCAGAGTTCAGGAGGCTGGGCCTGGGCCTGGGATTTCCTGCTTTCCCTCTCCCTCCCCCAAATCACCTAGGTTGACCTAGTGCTGTCTGAGTCAGGGGCTTGTAGGGCTTTCTACCTAGCTGGTGGAGTGACAGTGTGAGTAGTGCGCAGAGGTGGGGTGAAAGGGAAGTGTGAAATGATTGGGAACCTTACTGCTTTTTTGTCGGGTGAGCAGTGTTGATTTTTATTTTTAAATCTGGCTTCTTTGGCCGGGCTCAAAGACATTGTTTTCAGTTCACATACTCTCTGCATCTTGGTGATATTTTTTTCTTTGGCTGAAGAAGTCTTGTGCCTTGGCCGTTTCTTCTAGAAAAACAGTTCTGCTTTGAAAGGTAACCACCCTGGCTGTCCCTGGCATTTCCCTGGAAACACATCCTGGGAAGAACAAAGTTATTTCTGCCAGTCTTCCCCACCCCCAAGGAAGGGTGGAAAATCCGAGTGAGGGAGGGGTAGGGATCCAAGAGGAAATGCTACTACGTTGTAAAGCCAAGATAGGGACTTCCAGTTCTGTGTCTAGGTTCGCTTTTTATTTCTGGATGGCAAAAGTTCCATGTCTCAAAGCAGAGTTTCAAAATGCCAAAACTGAAAACCAACCATTCAGCTTTCTGTGAGTTCAGTTTTGGGGGGAGTTGGTTTGTGTGCTATTTTGGGATATGATGAAGAAGGATGTTAATGGGACCTCACTCATTCTGTCTCTTGCAGTCACAGGAGATGAGTTTCCCCATAGCATTGGTCAGGAGAATGGTCTGTAACCTTGCATGGATCTCATTGCCCCAAGCAGGAGAGATTTCCAGTCCTAACACAGGTCACAGAATTATCTAAAATGACTTGCCTGTTTACTTGAGAAATGGTTAGCAAAAGCTTGAGTCATGAGCCAAGATTCAGCTAAAGAGGACTAAGGAATTTCATGCCACCTTTAGAAAACTGTTTTAATCACTTCTTAAGTTATTAATAAAAAGTCCAGAGACAGAAAGCAAATTGGTGTTGGTCAGCTGAGGAAGAGGGAGGAATGGGGAGTGACTGCCTAATGGATAGGGGTTCCCTTTTTAGGGTGATGCAAATGTTCTAGAACCAGAGAGATTATGGTTGCATAGCATTGTGAATGCCATTAAATCATACACTTTAAAGATGGTTAAAATATATATTGTATATAATCACAATTAAAAAGTTCATGGACCATTTAAGATTGATAGCTATTATTGACTGTTTTTTTTAATGAGTTAACTACTTTGTGTGAATGGTCCTAATTAATCCTCAACTTTGAGGTAAGCTTTATTCTCTTATACCCATGAAAGGAAATGGAAGCAGAGAGGTTGACAGCTTTGAAGTGATAGAACAGGAGCCTGACTGTTGAGCCCTTGGGTCTTTCTTCCTTTAGGATGCAATGCAAGTGAGAAGATCAGTATTCTTATCCCAGGTCTTCAAACTGTGAGCTGATCACAAGACATTAAAAACAAAACAAAACAAAACAAACAAACAAAAAAAACCCAAGTAAAGCAGAATGGATTAGATCAGTGTATCACATGGTAATAAGGATGTTTTAAGGAATTTTAAGGAATTCCTGTGTAGGTTTTTTTGTTTCTTGTTTTTTTGCAGTACTGGGGTTTGAACTCAGGGCCTACACCTTGAGCTACTACTCCACCGCCCTTTTTTTTTTTTTTTCATATTTTTTTTATTATTCATATGTGCATACAAGGCTTGGTTCATTTCTCCCCCTGCCCCACCCCCTCCCTTACCACCCACTCCGCCCTCCCTCTCCCCCCCTCAATACCCAGCAGAAACTATTTTGCCTTATTCTAATTTTGTTGTAAGAGAGTATAAGCAAATAGGAAGGAACAAGGGTTTTTGCTGGTTGAGATAAGGAAGCTATACAGAGGCATTGACTCACATTGATTTCCTGTGCGTGGGTGTTACCTTCTAGGTTAATTCTTTTTATCTACCTTTTCTCTATGTTCCTTTTCCTATTGGCCTCAGTTTGCTTTAAGGTATCTGCTTTAGTTTCTTGCGTTAAGGGCAACAAATGCTAGCTAGTTTTTTAGGTGTCTTACCTATCCTCACCCCTCCCTTGTGTGCTCTCACTTTTATCATGTGCTCATAGTCCAATCCCCTTGTTGTGTTTGCCCTTGATCTAATGTCCACATATGAGGGAGAACATAGATTTTTGGTTTTTGAGCCAGGCTAACCTCACTCAGAATGATGTTCTCCAATTCCATCCATTTACCAGCGAATGATAACATTTCGTTCTTCTTCATGGCTGCATAAAATTCCATTGTGTATAGATACCACATTTTCTTAATCCATTCGTCAGTGGTGGGGCATCTTGGCTGTTTCCATAACTTGGCTATTGTGAATAGTGCTGCAATAAACATGGATGTGCAGGTGCCTCTGGAGTAACAGTCTTTTTGGGTATATCCCCAAGAGTGGTATTGCTGGATCAAATGGTAGATTCGATGTCCACTTTTTTAAGTAGCCTCCAATATTTTTTTCCAGAGTGGTTGTATGTCTAATTCCCACCAACAGTGTAAGGGGGTTCCTTTCCCCGGCATCCTCGCCACACCTGTTGTTGGTGGTGTTGCCCAGCCCTTTTTTTGAGATAGGGTCTTGAGGAGCTATTTCCTTCTGGCTGACTTCAAACTGTGATCCTCCTGATCTCTGCCTCCTGAGTAGCTAGGATTACAGGTGTGAGACACCAGCACCCAGCTTCTGTGTAGGTTTTATAGGAATGGTTGTGTGTGTGTGTGTGTGTGTGTGTGCGTGTGTGCACTTGCTCCAGATGTAACATGCATTCCTTATAGTGAAAGTTTGAAAGCTCCATCTGGAACATGCTTTAGGATTTGAATTGATTCTTAGTTTTTGATACACATATTAAAAAGAAGACCAGTGGGTAGGAACAGAGGATGACACTGAACTTGAAGGAATAAACTGAAAATGGTCACCACCATGTTCCATGCCTTGGGCAACCTAGGTGGGAGAGTGAAGGAGGACACTATGGGAGATAGGAGTGGGGAGGCATATCTTTAGTATGCAGAAATAGAGGAGTAATTAGAGAAATCAGTCATGAATAATCCTCAATTTTTATTTCTTTTGGGGCATAAGTCTGTACTACTATAGATTGCTTTGGATCAGGAATCAGCTTTGAAACTTACTTTTTAAAGCTTGCAAACAATATGGATTATATCTTTTATATCTATATAAAATATATTCTATTATCTTGGTTAATAGTGTTCACTATAAATGTTAGATTACAAGTTTATCTTTCACATTCTCCAAGGTATCTTTTTCAGTTCTTCCATGGACTGATTACTAATTTCTGGTGGTTGGCTGGAATTTGTCATTTTCATTAACTCTGTAATTCTTGTCTGTTGCTTCCCTTGTTTACAGCGTGTACCTTACTATAGAAGCATCTTTTTGTTTACCCATGACAGGGCTGTGTTAGGGTTGTACAGCTCTCCCTATTTCTATTTCACTACTGGCTGTAGCTTGTGGGCCAGAAGGGAGGGTAGAGGAGACACATGCATCTTTCCTAGGAACTGGTTGTCCTTTGAATTGAGCATCGCAGGCTGATACGTGGAACAACTTGGACCAATTGATCTTTGTCTATTTCTGTCCCATTTAGCCATATCTGAGTTGTTGTACTGTCTTGCATTTTTTCCTTAATTGAGTTCTCCTTTTTCCACAAGGCACCTTTCTATACCTGTCCACTATCTTTTATTTGGAACCTACACTTGGTTAAGTTGGAGGGTCTACTTTTTTTCTGAGGTCTTTGGTCTTCATGCCTCTGTGACTAACTCTATTCCCTGTCTTCTCCCAGGCATAAATGGGAACAACCTTTCAGATAGCATCATCAATTGTCTTTCTTGTCCTATGGCTTTGTGGGAGTAAACAAATCTCACCTTTTTTGTCTTTTAGTTTATTTCATCTAGACTGCCAAACAGTTTTCATTAATCATGCTTGAAATTGTCCCACATTTGGGACATAGGTTATCATCTGGCATGAGGAGATGGTGCTGGAGGGACTGACTCCTTGATTGTTTCTTCTCAGCAGGGCTGAGAAGACATAGGCAGGGCAGTCAGTCATGTCTGGCCTCAGCATTTTCATGCACGATTGTGCCTGTTTTCTAAAGATTATGCAAGGCAAGTAGACACTTTGTTCATGCAAAAGTGAGTCTTGGCTTCCTCATACTGAAATGTAGTAGTCACAAAAGATTTTCCTTTTTTGAATCTTTGATATATAAAATCAGGCTGCTATGGTGAATTAAAATGTAACAAGCGTCTAAGATTGAAGAGGAACAAAAGTCAAATTATTTCCCCATTCCCGCCTATATCATGGATGAAAGGTGAGTTTTATGCCCCAAATTTTAAAGTATACACATTCTAGAAAGTTTGATCTTTATTTAGAGGTACTGCTTTAAAATATTTAGCTATTTAACACTTGACTCAATAATAATATTTGTC